TTTTCTTCATTTGAATCACAAAAAAAAAATGTCTTCTAAACCAAAAAATAGAGTTTCGATTTATTGGGATGGTGAAATTAAACATGACGAAAATATCGTTTATTATAATTATATTTTCAAACACAATGCTAAATATTTAATCAATGTCTGATATCATAAATTTCTTTCATCAATTTATAAAAGAATGGGTATTAATAGTACAGATTATAATTTGATTATAGTCAGAAAATACCCTACTTCATTTTGTCACAAGGACAAGTAAATTTTGGAGAGTGGATTATTTATAGTGACGAATCGTTGATCGACTTTTTGAGCGTTCCAAATGACTACATAGATCAAATCAAGTTAACACTTATTATACATAATGTAATAATTTTTTTCTTAAATAGAGCTTGAAGAAGTTTTCAGAATAAAAAAATAAAAATACATAATGTAATAATTTTTTTCGCTTTTATGATATGCCAAATCAATATAATTGTATGACAAACACTGCAAAAGCTTCATAAAGAGATACAATTTAATGTAAAACGTGAAAAATATTCCTCTTTGTAAAAAATGTAAAACATTTTTTCTTCCACTTTATAAAGTATAAGAAAAACTTCCACTTTATAAAGTGTAAGAAAAACTTACACTTTATAAAAGGTAAGAAATAGTTCTGTTATATATTAAAATATATCCATTATGAGACTTACGGAAAACATTTGAAATATTTTACAAAACATATTTTTTTCTTCCACGAAGCCTATTTTAGTTATTTACTAGAATAGTAGCTTATTTTGGTCATTTTTATCTTTTTGTGGCTTATTTAGGTTCTGAACTCTGGAGAAAGAGGGGAAAAGGGGAATCACGAACAGGAATCTAAATAGATAAGATGGCTAAGGTCGATCTTGGATAACAGAGTCATTTACCTTGTTTGTAAGGTATTATTATTCTAATTCAAATAATTTTCATAGGTAATCTTTGCCTCATGTCTTGCTTCTTCTTTTTGAATTTGTGCTTATGTCTTTTTACTTCGCTTGATTTTCAAATCAGTAGACTCCATGTTTTGGTTTTTTGGCCTTATTAGCTTGACTTCATAAGTGAGCATAAAATTTGAATTGAATAGATAGGCGAAAAGTGTCTTTCATGATTCAAGTAGTAAGCTTACTATCACTTTAGTTGAATCTATTATAGGGCAGGCTTTTTGAATAAGTCGTATTAAGATGTATTAAGATGATGAAGACCCACATTGCTAGGTCAAAGAGTGAAAATATCTACTTTCCTCAAGGAAAATGAAATACTTAATTGAGGAGGTGAACCAGGCCAAGAGGTTAACTTGCTCAGTTGCATAAAGTTGTATGAATTTATTGCGAGGGATTTAGGTGTGTTAGGCCAATCATCTTCTAGTTTTTGGATAATCAATGCTATATAATGCTTACTGTGGGGGTAAACCTTAACCTTAATGTGAAGAATATCATTTAAAAAAAATCTCCCCTTCTTTCACTATACTCTTTCGCTCTTGAACTACTTGAACAAGAAGGCCAAAGAGCGTTATCGTATATAAGAAGAATTGTTGCATTTGACAATAATAAGCTCTCACTCACTCTAACTAGAAATTTGATAAGAGAAGTCTGAAAGGATTTCATGCTATATTCAATGTATGTAAATGTCCTCTCCACTTTCAAGATCAGTTGAGTCATAAAAGTACTTATTAAAAGTATAAAGGATCAAGTAGCTAGAATTATTTGTCCATTCTAGGTTCATAAGTTCTACCATTAGAGGGACTAGTTGTCATTCTCCCATAACTTAAGTTGTTTAAGGACAAGATTCAAATATGATTGAGGTAATTGGTATGTTTTGAAAGAAATAAAAGACGAGTTGTAACTCATCTAATTAGCAATGGGGTGTTGCGAAAACCTTGGCTAGCTCCATTCAAAGCTCAAAAGATTAAAGTTTCCCTTTATGCCCCCTAGTGATGGACTTGGTTAAATTGGAAATATTAAATCGTGATATTTTGCGTCACTTCTTCATTCATTTCTTTTACAACCCACATAAATTTCAAATATCCTTTAGCTCATATTTTCTCGTCTACTTTCTAATTTTCAAGGCTTACTTTCAAACCATTTCGAACACGAGAAATTGAGAGATCTTTATCAGTGCTTACTTGAATCTCCAATGACAAAATAACAAGACAATCAGATGCAACAAGCAATCATGATTGAAGCACGACTCTAGTCAATAAGCTAGCAATGAACATAGCTACGACAAAGCACTTACTAAGAGTGAAGAAAAAGTCTTCTCCACTTGAGTCTTATGCAAGGGACACGCACATTCGATTCTTAAGAAGAGGGGCCAGTAGGAGTCATCTCATCTCAATAGCTTAAATTTAGAGCTTAATATGAATATTTTTTTTGTAAAATCTATTCGAAAAGCGATAATTTCAAAGATTGCTTTTTGAAATAAGATACTTTCTTTGACTCTTTGTTGGTCCTCCAAGGACTAGCGAAAGAAAAAAGGGATCAAAATATCCCAACTATGAGGACTTTTCGCACTGTTAGTTATATTCAAGTTCTAAATTTTCTTTTTATTTTCTATTGTGAAAAGATAAGGAAAAGTCGAATGTCCATACGAGGACAAATTTTTTTGTTGGTAACACATGTGAAATATTACCATAACAAGCAAAATAGTACAATCTAAAGAGCATCTAGTGTTCCTCAACCACATTCTAAGGAGGGTGTCTTAAAACCACTAGATCTCCAGAAAACTAGTTACAAATTAGTTGTATAAAACTATGACATTTATGTGCTTTCCTTGACCTCTGTAACATATATATCCTTTCTTTCGGTTCCTTTTGTATCTGTGCATTAACAAATTCACCATTTACATTCTGATGATTAAAAATTCCCTTGTTCCTAGCTATCTAGGTGTAGAAGACCAATGCACCCCAGGTTGCTGCGATAACTTCCTTTTGAAACTGCTTTCACCTTTTCTTTTTGATCCATTTAATTGTTTTGTAAACTTCTCTGTATGATAATTGAACCCTTAGCCTTGTACACATAAGGATTTTCACACCAGTAATCCACCTACACTTAGTAAATAAGTGATGGTGTGTCTCCAACACACTCTCATCACACAAACAACAAATTCCATTCTCCACTGAAATGCTCATTTTTAACAATCTTTCACGAGTGAGTAGCCTCCTTTGGCATGCTAGCCAAGTGATAAATCTATGTCGTGGGAGCATGGCAGAGTTCCAAATTAAATCTACTTCTTTTAATTTCATGAGTGGACCTAGTAGAGCTTGATTAACTGCGAGATACTCAGTAGGCACCATTATGTGTGAAAGTATACTTGTTATCCTGATACCAACTAGACATTTGTGCTTTTAGGGCATTTAATTTCCTCCAATATCAGCTGCATTCTACTGGGGCATCATATATCAATATATTCAGAGTGTTTTTCATATAAACATCATTCACCCACTTTACCCATAACACATCCTTCTTCATTGTCACTTGCCACAAAAGTTTCCCTACTAAGGCAATATTCTATTTGCAACATTCTTTGATGTTAACTCTCCAAATTTCTTAGGGACACAGACTTTATCCCAAGCTACCAATGCTACCTTCCTCTTTTCCACAGTTGCATTCCATAAGAACATCCTACACTTCCTATCAATCTCCTTTAACACACTTTGAGGTAAGATAAAAACTGCTCCCCAAAAATTATGAATGGAAAAAGCATTGTCATAACTATTTGTAATCTTCCAGCATATGACAAATGTTTTGCATAAGTAGCTTGTATTATTGCGATAATTTTATCCACTAGTTGTTGGCAATCCATCTTTGTCTACTTCTTTGAGGTAAGTGGCAGTTCAAATATTTGATAGGGAGAGTACCCACTGCAAACTCATTTTTTGTTAGAATGTTCTGTTTAACCTCATCTCCCACACCAGCTATGAAGATGTTGGACTTATCCAAATTAGCAATTAACCCCGTCACTCTTCTAAAGTAGTCTAGTGCCTCTATCACTCTAGTAACTAAGCTCATATCCCCCTTGTAGAAAATCATGAGATCATCAGCAAAAATTAAGTGAGTTAGTTTGGTCATCCTATACATGGGATGGAATTTGAGTTGGGTAAAGCTCATTTTGTTCAGAATCCTTGACAAATATTCCATTACCATTACAAAAAGAAGAGGGGAGATGGGATCTCCTTGCCTCAATCCTCTCTTACCTTCAAATAATAAATTCAAATGTTTAACTGTCTATACTCAACTATTAGGAAATCCAGATACATGAATTGATGATTTCTATATGGCAATAATTTAGGTCACATGTATGAAATAGTAGTATGAGTCTATAATTATTTATTGATCCCGCACAACTTCAACTATGCAAAAATATAATTACAGTAATAAACAGGGTGGGCATAAATATCGGAAAATCGAAAAACCAAACCGAATCGAACTATTTTGGTTCTTCGCTGTCGGTTTTTTTTTCGAAACTTCGATTCTTCGGTTCGAAGTTCGGTGTAAGGGTCCCGAAACTACGGTGCACCGAAGAATCGAAGTTTTATTAAATAAATTTTAAAATATTTAAATTATATTATTTAATAATATTTATATATTTTGACTCAAAATATTTACCTGGCCCATTTCAATTTTAAAATTTTGGAGTCTAAACAAAACAGTGAAGAGCACCCAGCCTAAACAAAACTATTTTGATGTTATTACTTTTTATTGTTAGACTGTTAGTTGTTACTTTGAAGTGTGAAGTAAACAATAATTGTTACTTTATCATATTCCCTTTTTATTTTTATTGACACCAAAAAATCGATTTAAAATACCGAACTAAACCGAATTGAAGTACAAAAAACCGAACCGAACCTATCTAGTTTGGTTTGAAATATGGTGCACATTTTTTTAAAATCGAATACCAAAGAACTCCCACCCCTAGTAATAAATACTTGAAAAGTAAAATATAAGATGCTTCTAGTCTTCATCAGTATAACTAAAACGCACCTGAGAAAATAAGCGACGGTTTTTCCACAATGCTGAGTCGTGATTAGATGCCATGTCTTCCAAAAACATTTGATCTGAAAATTCCAGAAGAAAAAGCAATTAAAGTATGATCACGATTTACAAGTTGCAATAAATTACTTGAGGGAAGAAAATAAAATATGACGCAAAATTATCGAAAACCAAAATCCGTACAGAAGAAAAGGTGAAAATTGCCTTTGGCTGTCGAAAAAAAAAACCTGAAAATTAAGCTAAAATGGAAAAGCATACGACACAAACAGCGAATCGGTGTCTGAATCAACGCCATTAAAAGCGCGAGAACAAGCACTGATGAGAAGAAAACCTTTAGCAAACAGCATCGGAAAAAATTGATCGTACAATTCGATTCGAAGAAGATCGGAGAGATGAACGAACTACCGAAGAAAAGTGAGTGAATGTGGTATTTGATGCAAAAATGGAGATGAGAGACATGAATACGTACCTGTAACACGAGTTCGATTCTAGAAATGGAAGGAGAGATAGAAAGAGAGAGAGGGGAGCGGAATGGTGTAGAGAGAGAAGGACATGAAAAATATCTTTGTGATGGATTGAGGACTTTATATAGTGGGGTTGTAAAATTGTGGGTACCACCCAACAATATTGGGACGTATATGGGTTTGACGGGTTGTGTGATTCTCTTGGGCCTGCTGCTGTTTCAATGTGGCCAACTGGTCATTATATTATGAGAAACCCGGGGCCCTTTTGCTTATAAGGGACAGCTGGCTGTCTCACCTTTGCCAACTTGTAATTTTTTTAAATGGTCAGAAAATTAAAAAAATTAGAATATTTTTTTTATTTTAAAACGAACTGATATTTTTTTTTACATTTTTAGTTAAAATGTATTAAAGTTAAAAGGATAAAAATATTTTAAAAGGTGAAATATCATTTTGGCCAAAAAGATTTTTCCTTTTTTTAATTTGTATAATTGAGTTGTTTGAATGAGCTATAAGATATAATAATCTCAACATTAAAAAGAATTTGTTTATGTTGTGTTTGGTTTGAGATATTAAATAATTCTTGAATGGTTTATTTATTTATATCTTAGTAATGGAATAAGTTATTCTATATATATGCATAAAATAATTTGTTTCCAATCAAACGACATGGTCAATAGATGTTTAACATCAATATAAGATTCGAACCAATGTTAATGGATTGGTTGAACCCGTTACATCTTTGCATATATTTTAAATTTTAAAAAAAAAATTGGACATACAAACATATAGCCAACGAATCTAGAATTTAAACTGTATGATTGTTACCTTTTAGATTCTTACTAATAAACTCAAATTTATTTAATATTATGGATTCATATCTATAATTGTAATTTTAATAATTATTTATATATAAATTTATATTCCGCAACAAATAATTTTGAATTAAAATGAACCAGTATTAACGATGCATCGTAGTTTCAATTTTATGACAAGGATATCCACAGTTGCTATCATTTAGGTGCGCATAGGATAAACTCCGCTTTTATACAATAGCTTGCAAATCACATAAAAGAGGTAATTCGCACTAGCCAGTGTACGTAATTTCAATATTGCTAATGAATAATAAGTTCTGTGATAATATTTCACTGGTTTTAATTGCGAATACACCTTTATCTGTATAGTATTACATGCCTCACCACTCACAAGTATATTATTTATTACGTACCATAATGTATAAACTCTGTAACCTTTTTTCATGAATCCAAAAGGAGCCTTCGTCAAATGGACATCCATTATGACTGTGTCAAAGATATAGTTTTTATCAAGCATGTTTAACTTTAAATATATATTTTTTAAATATAAAATTTAACATATGTATACATCGTACTTTTTTGAAGAAAGATGTCTAGTTAAACACTACACCTCTAATTATTTGAACGCACGTTGCTAAGAGATCGCTGCCCCTCAAGTGGAGTAAAAGCAAAGGTTCATGATCGAAATAATTAATTCATGCAGAGTTTTTTTTATTATCGAACAAAAAGAAAGTTAAGCGTTTAATCTGAACCGAAAAAATACCAAACTCCACCACCCTTCCACCAGTGCTTGTTTCGTTGTCTGCAACCGAGCAGCAACAAGCATCTCTTTTTGTGCTTTCCAATCAGAAACGAGTTGAGACGGATTTAAAATTTAAATTTTATAAATTTAATATTTAAATATATCTTAACATTTAACCGATTATATTTGTAAAATATAAGTTTGTATATATAATATATTGTAAGTTTAATAGATTTATAGAATATGCATAAATTTACACTACATGCTACTATGGGCTCAAATGAAGAGATGTAACTTTTTCTTCTAGAAACCAAATTCTTAATTAAGATCTACACGTGTAAATACAAGAAAGAGCCACGCACTCTCCTCTATATTCTACAAAAAGAAAACCAACCTAGAAACATTGCATTTGAAACAAAAAAACACAAAGGTTATTAAAAAGGGTTAGTAGTAATTAATTATGTAAATGCCTACCTGTCACATGAGACGTGTCAGGTTCCTGGCCTTCCAATTCAACTTAGAAAAATGAATAAAGCAAGATGATATTTTTTTTCTCTTTCACGTTGAGCGACAACAGAAAGTGAAATTTTAATCCCTATTTGGTCTTAAAGAAAGATTTGTTTATTGGTGTGAGGAAAATTAGAATCTGTACGATTAGTACATAATTAATTATTTTATAGTAGTATAAGATCTTTGGTCACTTTATTTTCTAGGAGACCAATAATTAATTAGAAGTACTTATGTGAAGGGTGGGTATGATTTTGTGCATTATATCGAATTAAACCACATGTTTTATTGTTTGTGCAGGTTTCCATCAATTTCTTTGAGATTTGGTCTTGCGATTGTACTCCCCTGGCAGAGTGTTTCACGCGTCAGCTGAGCCCTACTTCCTCTGTTCAACAATAGTTATACACTATTGACTTGGTACACCTCTTAAGAAATAATAAATAGAAGGGTAATTTTACTGTATCAACCTTTGAATATAATAAATATAATGTCTTGAAAAAATATAATAGGAAAATGACTATAATTAATTATAAACTAAGTGTACAATTATCTATTAATTTTATAAAATAAATAAATGTTATTAGACATTTTAAAATAGTATCGTGGACAAGTATTATTAAACGGAGAAAACACTAAAAGTTGGAAGATGGTGAGGGGTATGTCTAGGTTATTAGAACATAAAGTAAATAAATTATGTGAAACCTACGAAGGCAACAAAGTCGATAACTCTACCTATCACAATTAGGCAGATGACAAAGTAAACCAATGAGAAAAAGATCACATGGATTATTTTCTTTTGACTGATTAAGAAGTTCATATTGACTAATAATTATAATTAGCAGCTAGCAGGTATATATAGATTTTTAATTATAGAAATGGACTCGTGGAGATTAAGCCGAGAACGAGGCCAAAAGTGGGGAGATTGGAGACTTGTTGCCAACGGATAGTTGAAACGTGTTAGTTTAAAGGAGGATTTGATTAAACTACGTGTTGAGGAATGGTGCATCGTAAAGTGGATATGGAAACGTTACGTGTTGGATGTTTCCAAAGACCAAGATTCTTTTGCATGGGATAGAATAGAGTATGGTTGTTTGGGAGGGGGTGGATTGAAAAGTCACCTAAACTCAGAGGGTATTTGGATTAGCTTCAAAGTTGGTTAAACTTATTTCTAAGTCAGTTTTTTTATTTTTAAAGTATTTGAAAAAAATAATTTAAAATAAGTTGGGAAGTGTTTGACAAGTTAAAAATAAGTTAAAAATCAAAGGTAGGTCTCTCCCTATTTTTTATTTTTTGACTTAAAAGTCATTTCAGTTTGACTTTTTATTTTTGACTTTAAAAAGACTTTTTTAAGCCAATTCAAACATGCTCTTAGTACTTTCGCTATTTATATTTAATGGTCACCATTTTAAATTTTATGTCCTTAAAAAATTATATAAGTTTGTTGTAGTACCCTTATTAATTAGTATGTAAGATGGAAATGAATTAATTACTGCTTAATTTTTTTATGTCGGTTAAATATATACTTTTAAGACTAATAATTTTTAAATACAAAATAAAATGAATAGTGTAATTTATATATTAATTTTGTGTAATGACAACTATTAAGCCACATTTATTTTTGTAAAAATAACATGTATATAGATACCAAGAGAGTGCCTTTTGTTCAAAATCTGTATATATATTAAGAAAATTATTAAATACTTATACTTATATATATTTAATTGTAAATTTTATTATTATTGTAGGATTAATTTGAGGTTATTGTGAGAACTTACTAACTTTAAAATTCAAAGTATAAATCCAACCCACCTATGCTATGTGGGTGTGTTTGGAATTGAGAAAAAAATTACTGTACTTTTTTTTAATGTTTGATTGGGTGAAAAATTCTCAAGAAAAACAATAATAATAACAAATTAACAATAAACATAATCTCACCAGTGAGGCTCGTAGAGAGTAAAGTATGCAGATTTTTTACTTATCTTAAGAAAGTAAAAAGATTGTTTTCGTTACTTTCGCCTCAAAATAAGAAAAAAATGACTGAACTAATAAAATTAAAAACAAAAAGCATAAATAAAATCTCAAATACATTGTCTCTTCTTCGCTCACCCAAAGCCTCCAATCTCACCCTATGCCACCCCACCACCCACTACACTAGCAGCTGTTACGCTGTCTGCCACCGAGCAGCAACATACTCATATGATCTTTTCCATAAACCAAATAATTAATAATTCCACGTGTAAGTTGTAACTATAAAAAAAGAACCACACGCTTTTGGTATGTTTTGTATTAATTGATCATTATATTAAAAAGGAAAAAGGATCAAATATGTCTCTAAACTATTTGAAAAGGTCTAGATATACCCCCGTTTAAAGTTTGGCTCACTCGTACCCTTGCCGTCCAACTTTTCATCTAGATATGCCCTTATGGGCGTTAAATGCCAAATGGAATTGCCACGCCATTTTTACATTACCACGTGGCATTTATATTAAAGGGAAAAGGGTCAAATATACCCTTAAACTATTCGAAAAAGT